CCGGGGCCCACAGCGCCCCGAGCTGCTCCAGGTCCTCGGCTCGCATGGGGAAGCTGTGCAGGCGCGAGAGCACGGCGGGCGGCACGCGCGGCTCGTCGGCCTCGCTGAAGTGCTTCACACTGGCCAGGCTCAGCCCCAGCGAGTCGGCGAACTGCACCCGCTTCTTGCACTTGGCGCAGCAGTCGCCGGGGCGGGGCGGCGCGTCCCCCGCTCGCTCCCCGCCCTGCGCGCCCGGCCGCTGCTGCAGGAGCTGCGCCGCCTGCAGGATGGGGTCGGAGGGCAGAGAGAAGGAGCGCGCGCGCGGGCGGCGGCGTGCCCGCGGCTCCCCCGCCCCCGAGGGGGCCGCCTCCTCCTCCGAGGTCGGGTCCCCACCCCTCCGCAGAGCTCCCGAAGGCGGGGAACCGCCCTCCGCGCCGAGGACCTCCGCGGCGGGAAGCGCCTCGGGGGCCCGGGCCTCCTCCGAGGGCGCAGGGCCAGGGGCCTCGGAGCTGTGCTGCCGCGCCCCGCGGGGCTCCATGGCACCGTCCTCCCCCAGGCCTCGTCTGGCGGCGGGCGCCGGCTCCGGGCTCCCCGGGGAACTTGCGTCCTTGGGGAGGCAAAGGCGCGCGGGGCTGCCCGCCGCCCCGGCCCGGGACGCGCGCGGTCCCACCGTGGAACCGTCAGCTTTTAGCCGCTGCTGCCGGGGACTGAGTGGGAGGAGGAAGCGGCCGGGCCGGGCCGGGCCCCCTCTGGACCTGCCCGGCGGGGGAGGGTCAGGGGCGGGGAGGCGCCTGGGCCGGGACACCTGGAAACCAGTTTCCCAGCGCTCGGGCAGCGGCGAGGAAAGACTCCGAAGGTCGCGGGCGCCCGCCCTCCCCAGCTCACGTGTGTCCCCCCGGGGCGCCTCAGCCCCTCCTGCGCGGGGGCGGCCCGATAGCTCTGCCTCCCGTCCGAGCAGGGGTCACCCCCTCGAGCTTCTCCCGCCGGTCACCGACCTGGGGAGTCCCGGCTGCAGGCGTGCAGTGCGTGCTGCGAGGCGGAAAGCGCGGGGTGCACCCTCTCCTGTACCCGCCTTCCCCAAACTTGGGCTGCGATCCGCGGGCTTCGCTCTCCTAGCTCCGGAAACGGGCAGCCCCGAGGGCCCCACCTACTGCCCCGGAGGTGCGAGTGGGCTTAGGTCCCGCGGGTGCGGGCCGCGCAGTGCGGGGTCGGACGACTCGGCAGCCCGCCCAGAGCTGCAGGAGCCATTCGCGCCGGGCCCGCCCGCACGTCCCGCCCCCCTTGTCCCGCCCGCCGTCCGCGCTCGCTCAGCTGGGCGGGGAGGACCCGGCCTGTAGGGCTGCGACGTCTCTGCCGCGGTGCCCACCGCATCCTCCTCATCCCCGGGATCCGAGGCCAGCGCGTCCCGCTCAGGCAGCGCAAGGCCCGAAAGCCAACCCAGGGCCGAGGGAAGTCGAGGATACAGGATACTTCGCGTATCTGGGGACTGCAAGACTTGCAGAAGTTTTTGCGTTTTGATTCAAGCTGACTTCCTTGATCAAATTCGAGCGCCTGTCCGCACGCACGTGGTAGGGGAGTGGGAACAGAGCGCTGCGCCCCGCCTTGGGGTCTGAGCCGGTAGGTCCCGGTGGACTTGAAAGCATTTCTGCCAAGAACTGCAGGTGCAGGGCTCAGGGGACCACATTTTGAAAACTGGTCCTTAACCTGAGCGTATACAGTTCCTTCTATACAAAGTTGGGGATTCTAGAAACATTGATCTAATTACGACACAGAAAAGCAAAGCTAGCTTCCCCAGGTTCTATAACCAAGCGTCAGTGGGCTCCAGGCGTCGGGTGGGCAGGTAGGTAACAGAGATGGTGAGAGGAGAGCGAGGGCAAGGTTTCTGCTAATAGCTAATACTTACTGAGGACCGACTGGATACCTCACCCGTTCTGAGGATTCTTCCTGTGTGATCTTATTTACAGAACAACCTACAAAGTAGGAACTATATTATCCTTGCTCTACTCAGAGAACATAAAGGCCTGGAATGATTTTTCCTTGGCCTGGGCCCCACAGCTAGGCTGCGATGCGATTGAGGAAGATCTCCCACTGCTGATAGGCCTGAGCTGGGGTGGTCCTGAGGAAGGGACCCGCTGGTCCTCTTGCTGAGATCTTGGTGGCTATTCTGTGCTCTGTAAGAGCGCTATCATTGCATCTCAATTTGACAAGTCTTCAAACTTTGGGAAAGAAACCACTGTTTTTAGATTTAAATCAGTATTGATACATTATTAGGTTAAACATGAAATTTATAAACTAGTTGAAAAATAAAATTGGTGGGGCTGGGGATTTAGCTCAGCGGCAAAGCGCCTGCCTGGCAAGTGCAAGGTAGTGAGTTCGGTTCCTGGTACCGGAGAAAAACCAAGAAAAAAAAAAAAAAAAAAAGAAAAGAAAAATAAAATTGGTTGTAAAAACAGATTTTTGATGTTGGGGTAACCCTTTGGGCTACAACTCTCCTTGAGAGTGTGTCCACTCTGGAATTCTGACATAGAGGTACCCTGAACACACAGAGGTGCCCTGAACACAGAATTTGAGGGGCACCACCCTCAGAATTTGAGGTGCACCACCCTCAGAATTTTCTGAGGGGCACCACCCTCAGAATTTGAGGGGCACCACTCTCAGGGTTGTGGGGGGCGCCGCCCACCCTCCTGTCTTGGGTGGAAATGTTAGCTCCACCCTGATGAAGCTCTCAGTGTATTGCAAACCAACATTAGTACAAACTCAGCCCACTCCAGTAGATGCTAAGATCTGGAGAGTTCACACAGAGGACTGAAGTGAGGAGCACCCAGCCCATTCAAAGTCTCTGTGTTGGGGCACCATGGTGAGGAAGGAACTATAAAAGGTTAATGAAACCCAGGGACAGAGAGAGAGCCAGCTGGAGTCTAGCGGGGTCGGGAGTGGCTGGCCATCTGGGCAGGGAAAAGCCACTGAAGGGTGTTGAATCATGAGTGTGAAAAGGCAAATCTAAGTTTGCAAAAGATGGTTCTGGATGCAGGATGAAGGGCAGATTGCTGGGCACGGAGGCAATGGTGAAGTGCTAGGAAACCACTGTAGTCATTGTAAGAAGAGCAGCCTTACTGGGATGCAGAGAGGGAGACCAGTTATCTGGCTCGGCTGCATAACCTCCGCGCTAGTGCTTTCTGAAGCCGTCTGAAAGCACGTATGTCAGATGTAGCTAGAGGATGGGTTTCCCCCAGGTTCGTGCATCTTTTTTACACCACAGTAGTTCTAGAGTTAGAAGAGCAGAGGCCCTGGGACTGAGCTTAGGGCAACTCTTGACACTTAGAGGCCAGGAGAAGGATGAGCCTGCCAAGGGACCCGGGAATCCACAGCCTGGAGGGCTGGAGGGAACTGGGAGAATTGTTCCTCAGAAGCTGAGGGGAGACTTCCCTAATTGTTGGTACATTGTGTCAACTTGGGAAGTTTAGAAGGTTAACTGAGCACCTCTGCAGGGAGCCAGGGTCCTCACTTTGTAAACATCCTTGACCTGTGTAAGAGGAGGGCATGGAGATGGTGTGAGTGCTGCACCTGCCCTAGTGCAGGAGCAGTGTAGGAGTCAGTGGCCTCTCAGTGGTCCCCAGGAGAAAATGGTGAGGGGACTTAGAAAATAAAGACAAGAGACAAAAGCTGAGGTCAGGTGGAGGCCTCTCACCTGCTGGGCAAGAGGACTGAACAGTAGTAGGGCGTTTATTTATACCCTTGCGAAGTTAATATCATGTCAGGCAATGTTGCCTAGCAACAAGGACTGAGATTGTCCAAGCAGCATGTTTTTGTCACGACTGAGGTAGCTTGACTGTTCCAGGCCCTCTGGCTCTGTCCTGCGCTCCCCCCCACCACACCACCACCACATACGGCCACTTTCCAGCTCCTGTGGCTCCCAGCACCCTAGGAGGTGGTAGCCCGCTTATAATACAAGGGAGGGAAAGAGGCTTGCTATCCTGCCACCTTTTGCTCTTGTTGTTTTTGCTATTTTCTGCCTTGAAGTGTTCCCACCACACCATGCCAGCTCTGCCTTGGAGCCAGCTGATTATGGGCTGCAACCTCCCCAAACTGTGAGCTAAATAAACCTTTCCTTCCTTAATTTTGGGTGTTGGGCATTTTGTCCCAGCAATGGGAGAAGAGTAACCAAGACAGCTTGAAAGGCAGGAGTGGTAAGAACCTCACTTGGGTCCTACAGATCTCCAGACCCCTCCCTTGCCTTCTGAAAGGTCTGGAAGTCAGAGGTGTCCTCTGGCCCCATTGACATCTCTGCTCTGGCACACCTGAGAGACACATGGCTTCTGTCTAGGCGGAAACCCAGAAATGGGATGCAGAGACTCACAAGAACCTAGATGGTTCCTGACTTAGGGATATTTCAGCATTTGATTTTTTGGCTTTACACCGGTGTGAAAGCAATATGCACACAGTTAAAAACTGCACTTGACGTTTTGAATTTGGGTCTTTCCAAAAGGTGTGAGGGGAAACAAACCACCTTCACCTACGGTGCACTGTGCTGCTAGGTGAGGGTGCAAGGCTGGGTGGATAATGCCTCTCCCACTGTGACATTTTCATCAGGACCCCACCCCACTGTAAGTCTACAAACACCTGCAGTTAAATGATGCAACATGCAAAATAACCTTGAAACTGTGACGATAAATTCTGGCTCCCAGAAGTGTGTGTAGCCCTAGTTTAAACATTGGGTGCCTCCGCTGTTACTCCAGCCATCCGTAGGTTCTAGCTGACCATTTCTTCTAGTTACCTGTTGCTACACAGTCATCCATCCTAAGCATAGCTGTTCATTAAGATAATAGCAGTAGCATTTGTTCTCTTCATGAATAGAAAGGTAAGCAGTCATCCCTCTGGGACAGCTGGTCTTTCCTATCTGCAAGGGCTCAAAGGCTAGTGTTGGGATCATCAGGTCGCCAGGCCTGAGACCTAGGCTGGGAAGTCTTGAACAGTGAAGGTAACGTCATTGAAAAGGCACTTTCTGCTTTGCATTAAAAACAGAAAGGCGATCATGTAGTCAAACTCTATGGTCTTCTTCCAGAGAGGCGTCCTCAAACCCCCTTGGAGGTCATAAGCAGCTCTAGTGCACACACACACTTGTCAAGTGACCACATTCCAGATGAGTCACAGGCTACTCTTGTGCTACCTGGGAAACCTTAGTGGCTCCTCTGATTAGACGGCCCAACCCCCCAAGTTATAAATGAGTGGACCAAAAATCTGGGCTAGTTTGGTGAGGTGACCAGCAAAGCCTCACAGCCGTCACAGCCAGATGTCAGGCGCGTCGTCAGATCTCTCACAGCCCGTTCTGACCTTGTCGCCAAGGGCACACACGGAGAATGGAGGCGTGTGGGTACCATTGTGCGGATGGCAAGGCTTGAAACAGCCCAGACCTGGAGCACTGCAGCTCCACTCTGACCCTACTGTAAATGGCATTGGTCTTTGGATTTCTTGTGGCAACAAGTATATATAAAGAATTCTACCTAAATGGTCAAAATGACATGCCCTTAGGCATAGTACTTATTAATTATATATATTTGTTGTTTTCGTTGTTTTGTTTTTTGTGGGGTTTTGTTTTTGTTGTCTTTTTTTTGAGAC